CCTCACTCCTGTCCAGCCACACCGCACCGGTCCTCGCAGTGCAACCAGGCTGAGGATGCGAGAGTCGCCGTCCGCCCCCGCTGCCATGCAGGGCCTTCTTCGGTACTTCCACCCTGGCCGGGCGGGCCGGCCCCGAGGGGTGGCCTCTGCTGAAAAGCACCTGTGTGCTCGTGGCACGGCCCTGTGGACCCATATCCGGAACCTCGTGTGCAAGGGCAAGGTGGGCCAGCATGAGGGCTGGGGGTCTTGGTGGGCTGGTAGGGGTGGTGTCCCGGCCACCCAGACAGCACTGCTCCCTGTCCGGCTTGCCTGTCTCGGCTGCTCGGCGGCTTTTGCTAGTTTTGTCCTGTGGGTTTGGTTTGATTTGGTTTTAATTTTTCTATAGGGAACGTGCACTCGCTGGAGAGAGACAGAGAGGGAGAGTGAGGAATCACCTCGGGGTAGGGGGATGGCCATACCACAGTCCCTTTTCCTCCATTCTCTTGAGATGTGGTGCGTGTGTGCACATGCACCTGGTGGGTTTTTTGTTTGTTTAAGAGAGAGGTTTTTGCTATAGGGCGCATGCTCTTGTGGGAGAGATGGCAAGACAGAAAGCAAGAAATCACCCTCCCTCGGGGGGATGGCCATGCCGAAGTCCCTTCCCCTCCATTCTCTCGGGATTTGGGGCATGCACGCACACGTGCCCAGAGTTTTAAGTCGCCAGGTCTGGGATTTGAACTACTGCTGACTACATGAGAGTCCAGCAATGTAACCCATTATGCCATCTGCTGGTCCTCCTGGTGTTTTTTTTTTAGAGGTTTTTGCTATAGGGCGCGCACACTCACCAGAGAGAGAGACAGAGAGACAGAAAGCAAGAAATCACGCCCCAGGGGGGATGGCCATGCTGCAAGCCCTTCTCCTCCATTCTCCTCTCAGGATCTTGGGCACGCACGCACATGCGCCTTGCATGATTTTTAAGCATCTGGGTCATGGACGTGAACCGCGATCGGCTACATGGGAGTCCAGCGACATTACGCTAACTGCTGGTCCCCCTGGTGTGTTTTTTAAGCCACCAGATCCGGGATTCGACTTGCATGGTTAACCATGCAATATCCAGTCACCTTAGCCACCGTGCCACCCGACTGGCCCCAGTTGTGTGGTTTTGAAGACCAGGGGCCCAGTGATTATAGGAAAGAGAATGTCTCCTGCCTCACCTTCTCCTGAGTTTTCTGGGTTTTGTTTTTTAAGACGGAGCCTTGCCGTGTCCTGATCCCCCTGCCCCAGCCTCCTGAGTAGCAGGGACCATAGGGACAATTGGCATGTGTCACCACGCCTGGCTGTCAAGGAGGGCTGGGACTCAAACCCGGGCCTCCCACGTGGTCCTAGCGTCTTTGTGTGGTGGTCAGGTTTCGCTGTTCTTGGAAGGAGGAGGAGAGACATTCTGTCCCCCTCTTTGGGCGTCCAGGACTTGGGAATTAGGGGTGATGGGCCAGCAGGTCTAACCCCCCACATCCCATCCTCCACAGTCTAGTCGGAGCCAGGAGCTCTGCTGCCCCTGGGCTAGGAAAGACCTTCCTGTCCCCCCTTTTAGTCGCTCCTGGTCTCCTTTCCTTTTTCTTTTTCAGAGAGAGATTTTGCTATAGGGTGTGTGCGCTTACCAGAGAGACAGAGACAGAGCCAGCAGTCACTCCCCAAGGGCTACGGCCATGCTGCGGACCCTTCTCATTTCTTCTCAGAACTCTGAGCACACACGCCCGACATGAGTTTCAAGCCGCCAGGTCCGGGGCTCGAACTGTGGTCGACTACAGGGGAGTCCAGCAACGTAGCCCTTACAGCATCTGCTGGTCCTCCTCTTCTATTTTTTGTTTCTCCTTTTCCTTCTCCTCTTTCTCCTCCTCCTCTTCCTCCTTCTCTTTCTCCTCCTCCTCCCCCTGTTCTTGCGTGTGAGAGTCAGCTCCCTTACCACTAGGCTACAGAGCCAGGACTTGTTTTTTAATTGTCTCACAAGTTTGTACTTCTGTATTTATTTGTTTGTTTATTTGGATTATGACAAGTAGACGCTACAGCTCCTGGAAGAATTTACAAGCAGCTGGACGAGGGTCTGAGAAGCTGAGGGGCTGGAGCAGGGTTAGGATATTGGACAGGAAGTGGTGCCCCTCAGTCATGGCAGAATCCCCACTGTGTGGCCCGAGGGTGGGGTGGGGGTTTCTTTACTTGGAAAGGAAGGGGGGAGAAAGAGGAGGGAGTGATAATAAGGGGGGCAGTGGCATTCAGAAAATTAAAGGTCAGTGTTGCCAGTTCGAGTCTAGAAAAGTGTCTGGCCCGAGCAGGGGGTCGGCCCTCGAAGGGGAGGCAGAAGACGGGAGGAGACGGCCCTGGGACAGCCCCATCCCCCAGCACCGGGGACCCAGGGGTGGGGGATGGAGCACACGCTCTGCCTTTCTGAGCCATTTGCACACCTGTGAGGTCAAGCCAGCTAGGCTTCATGACCCGCTCCGGATTCCCCTCCTGGTTCTCTCGCCGCTTCACCCGCAGAAGGCCCAGGTGTCCGGCTCTCTGGTCCCTGGCAGTAGATGAACTTAGGTTTCTCCTGAGCTTCTCTCTAGAGCTGTCACTGTGCTTAGCACTGGCATGACGTGTGTGTGTGTGTGTGCGTGTGCATGCACACACACGTGTATACGCATACAGAAGTCGTGAGATATGGCTCCCCTCTTTTTTTTTTTTTTTTTTTTTTTTTTGAGAGATTTTTTTTTTTGATACAGAGTACATGTACTTGCCAGAGAGATAGAGAGGGGACAGAGAAAAAGTGAGACATCCTTCCCTGGAGGGATGACCACACTACAATCCTTTCTCCATTCTCCTCTGGATTTGGGGTATGCACGCACACACGCCCAATGTGAGTTTCCAGCCACCAGGCCTGGAAATAGAACTCTTGCCAGCCAGGCAGGAGTCCAGTGCCTTAGCTATTACACCACCTACTGGCCCCAGCCCCTGTTCTTAAGTGGCTTGCTTTGTAGCAAAGTGAAGCATCAGTTGAAGTGAGTGATGGCCACGCAGGGTCCCGTGTGACGTGTGCCATGTCACGTGGTGTCGAATGGTGGCTTCGTGCCACTGTCCCCTGGGGAGGTGTCTAGGTGTGTGACTCCTAGTTGCCACCAGGCCTGCGAGTCTTGTCCTTGTCAGGTGGATTCCAGGAAGGTGTTTCTATTGTTGTTTTTAAACAAAAGCCACTCTGCCCCCCAGATGCTGGTTCTTCACGACCCCCAACACCCCCAGCCCGGGGTCTTGGCTGTATCCAGGAACCACTGATGGAGAATGTGGTCAAAGGAGAGGGCGGGACAGAGCCTCCCCAGTCAGGAGACACGCAGCCTGGCCGGGGCAGTCGGGGTTTGTGGCCGCACAGACTGCTTGTCTAGAGTGGCAGGTTTTTGCAGACTGGCTGCCTGGACAGGGCCCTGTGGGGGTGGAAGTTAGAGGGACCACAGAGGGGCTTCCTCCTGGCCAGCTGTGTGACTGCAGGCAGGGTTTTAGGTCCTTCTGGGCTGGTCTCTAAACCATAGGACTGCCTGGTCTGGAGGATCCCCATGCCTTGAGCCAGCCCGTGGCACAGAGAGAACACGGGTTCACGATTCCTGGGATGGCAGCTCTCGAGGCCACGGCCCCAGGAAGTTGCTACTGAAACGGGGCTTCCTGAGACGTCCTTGAGAGCAACCACGTACCCTCCGCTGGGCCGCCCGTGGCACCTCTGTTGGGAGAGCAGGAGGAGAAAAGCCACCAGCCTGGACCTGGGCTCCCCGAGAGAGACCGGAGGGTGGGAGCACAGGGCGCCAGGATGACTCGTACCTGGGTGAGCTCAGGCCCAGGAGCAAAGTTCTGGGACAGTGGGGCCCTGAGGTTCCAGAGGTCCTCTCTGGGCCTCTCCGCCTCTGGCTACTCAGGCTCTATTTCCAGCTTAGGTGTGGCGGCTGTCTGTTAACGGTGACTCTCTGTTAACCGTGACTCCTTGCTTTCAGCTGGATCCCCAGGCCCTGCAGGACAGAGACTGGCAGCGTACTGTCATCGCCATGAATGGGGTAGGTACCCACGGAGCTGGACCGGTGCCACTTCCACCAGGTTAGGGTGGCCCCAGCTCCTTCTAAAACAGGAAGAGGCTCAGGCTGAGCTAGGGTTCCAGGCGGAGGGTGGCTGGAGGAGGGAGCAGCCCCACAGGGCAGAGTCGCTGCACATGGGAAGGAAACTTTGCCATCATTGGCTGGAGTGTAGCCACAGGCTGAGCACCCTCCTGGGACGAGATTGCATGGCACCACCAGGCCAGGTGGGGCCCGGGGTCTGCCTGCAGAAACAGAGACCCCCAACTAGTTCTCTAGACCCAGGAAGGTTTCGAAGAAAAGGAAAATAGACAAAAACATGCACACCAAAAAATGTCTGGATGTAGATGATAGTATATTAATATTTGGTTATAGTGTTCTCTGTACTTTTTCCTCTATTATTTATTTATTTATTTATTTATTTATGGAGAGGTTTTTGTATAGGGCAAGTGTGCTCACCAAAAAGAGAGAGACAGAGAGACAGAAAGCAAGAAATCACCCCCCGGGGGGATGGCCACGCCGCAATCCTTTCTCCTCCATTCTCCTCTTGGGATCTTGGGCACGCACGCACACACGCCTGGCATGAGTTCAAGCCACTGAGTCCGGGACTCGAACCACAGTCAACTACATGGGAGTCCAGCGACATAGCCATTACACTGACTGCTGGTCCCTTCTCTATTATTTTTTGAACCAGTGAGGACTGTGGAGGAGGGTGTGCAGAAGAAGCAGGTTCTTAGACCATCCTCCCATTCCTGGCTCTGCAGAACTGGACTAAGCTTTGAAAGGGGCCTCCGTACCTAATGCCAGGAACTTGTCTGCACCGGGGGTGGAAGGATTGGCCGAGACCCTTGGTAGGAGGGGTGAGAGCCAGAAGAGTAAGCCCCGCCCCTTCTTCCCCTGGCAGATTGAAGTGAAACTGTCCGTCAAGTTCACCAGCAGGGAGTTCAGCTTGAAGAGGATGCCTTCCCGGAAGCAGACTGGGGTGTTCGGAGTCAAGATCGCCGTGGTCACCAAGTGAGTGACACCTGTCCCCACAGGGATTTCTGCAGGGAAGAGCAGGCCAGGGTCTCTTCTCTGTGCTGGCTGGCAGGGGGAGGCGGGGAGTGGAGGCTCTGCTCACCTACCTCCTGTGTTTACTGCAAATCCAGCTCAGGAATGTCCGCGCCTCCTTCCTGGGGAGCAGTGGGCTGGCTCCTCTGGGAAGGCAGGAACTCCCCAAGTACACAGTTTCCTTCCCTGACCTGAGCTGTGTCAGAGCCCAGGTGTTTGGAATGAAACTGTTTTACTATGAACTCAGTTCTGATCTCTCACTTGCCCTCTCACTGTCTCTCTCTCTCTCCCCGATGGGCGTATGCATCCTAAGGCAAAAACCTCTACAAAAAAAACAAACCTGGAAACGGATACTGAGGCCGCGTAAAATTATGAGCACTCGGGACACCAGGTTCCAATCAAGTGATGGTGACCCCTGCCCTTTTGTCTTGAATCGGTGGCCAGGAGAAACCTGTTTATTGGTTCAAAGGCAATTCTCCAGGACACGGGCCACTTCCTTCCAGAATTTATTCACTTCCCCAGGACAGAATCAGGCTGGGCCCTGGCCTTGGTGACCCTCTGAGTCCAGGCCTAGTCGTTCCCTGGATACCACCTTGTGTCTAAACACTCCTGCCCCCAAGGGCACCCTGGCCATCCCCGCAGCACTTCAGAAGCCTTGATGTGAGGAGAGAGGACTGGCAGCAGCTGTCTCAGTAAGCATTGCTAGCAAGGGTGGTCTGGGGATCAGCAGATGGCATAATGATATGTCGCTGGACTCCCATGTAGTCCACCACAGTTCAAGTCCCGGGCCCGGTGACAAACTCACACCGGGCACGTGTACGTGCATGCCCAAGATCCCGAGAGGAGAATGGAGGAGAAGGGATTGCGGCGTGGCCATCCCCCCCAGGGAGTGATTTCTCACTTTCTGTCTCTCTGTCTCTCTCTGTTTTTCTGGCAAGTACATGCGCCCTATAGCAAAAGACCTCTCAAAAAAAAAAAAATGGTGGTTTGAGAAAGCCTTTTTATTTTGTTTTGTTTTTGTGAGTGATTTTTGCTATAGGGCATGTGCGCTCCCCAGAGAGATAGAAACAGAAAGCAAGAAGTCATCCCCCGGGGGGAGATAGTCGCAGTCCCTTCTCCTCAGCTCTCCTCCCGCAATTCTTGAGCACATAAGCACATGCGCCTGGCATGAGATTCAAGCCACTGGGTCCAAGACCCGAACCACGATCAGCCATGTGGAAGTCTAGTGCCGTAACCATTATACCACCTGCTGGCCCCGTGAATTGAAAAAGAAGAAAGAAAGAAAGGCGTGATGCTATTTATGCAGTGACGATCGGGAGCCTGCAGAGCCGAGGGGAGACACACAGCCTCTGTGTGCAGCCCCAAAGCTGGGCTCCTTCATCCCCTTCCTCCCCCAACTCCGGGCATGCAGATGGGTGACAGGCCTCCCTGTGCCTGTTGACACTCTGTAGGTGGCCAGGGCCCGGGCAGGACCGCCGGAGCCCTGAGAACGTCTGCCTTCTTCCCGCAGGAGAGAGAGGTCCAAAGTGCCCTACATCGTGCGCCAGTGCGTGGAGGAGATCGAGCGCCGGGGCATGGAGGAGGTGGGCATCTACCGCGTTTCCGGCGTGGCCACCGACATCCAGGCACTGAAGGCGGCCTTCGACGTCAGTGAGTGTCCATCCAAGCCGTGTGGGACGGGCTGTGGGCAGCGGCGTCTGTCCTGGGACTCCCACAGTGCTCTCTCGGTGGCCATGTCTGTTATTTGAGGGGACTTCAAACAGTTCCTAGAAAAATGCAATTAAAGGGACCAGCACTTAGCATAATGGCTATGTTGCTGAACTCCCATGTAGCCGACCGCGGTTCAAGTCCCAGACCCAGTGGCTTGAGCTGACCCCGGGCACAGTGCGTGTGTGCCCAAGGTCCCGAGAGGAGAATGGAGGACAAGGGATTGCGGCGTGGCCATCCTCCCTAGGGGGTGATTTCTCGCTTTCTGTCTCTCTGTCTTTCTGGCAAGTGCATATGCCCTATAGCAAAAACCTCTCCAAAAAAATAGAAAAATGAAATTTAAATAAGAGTTTATTTTAGTGCAGTAAAAAAAAGGCAAAAACAAAAACAAAAAACAAAAAACAAAACCAAAAAACCTTGGCATCAATGCATATTTTTTTCACAATATACATTTTTATGAACTTTCTGCTTCTGCAGAAACTAATTCTTAAATCATTCTAGCTAGGCCTCCTACTTGCCAGGTCGAACCTGGGGCTTTCATAGAACCTTGGCTGGCCTGCCCTGGGTGTAAGCAGGAAGTGCCCAATGGAGAATGCAAAGGACACTGACATGAGGCTTTGTCACCTGTGTCACTAACCCTCACATGCTGAGAAGGAGGTGGACCTGCCCCAATTACCAGGGGGGGAAGCCGGGACCCCAGAGGGCCTCAAGCACCTAGCATCTCACCAGACCTTTGAGCCAGCAAATACCTCCTCCCTGGGAGACACACACCACCCACCCTGCCCTGGAGCCTTTTAAGGCCCAGCACCCCTAGGTGGGCGCTGCTTGCGGGTCAGATAGCTCGGAGGACGCCGCAGAGTGACCGGGACGTGGAAGCCCTGGCTCGGGACCCACCAGGCGGCCGCCCTGTTCCCGCGCTCTCCCCAGATAACAAGGACGTGTCCGTGATGATGAGCGAGATGGACGTGAACGCCATCGCCGGCACGCTGAAGCTCTACTTCCGCGAGCTGCCCGAGCCCCTCTTCACCGACGAGTTCTACCCCAGCTTCGCCGAGGGCATTGGTGAGCACCCGAGGCCTCCGCCTTGCAGGCCGCACCTCCCCACCTTCCCGGCGGTCTGTCGTCATCTTTGGGGGCTGAGGGGGCCCAGCTGTACCCCCTCTCCTGTAGTCCATGCTTCAACCGGACCTCAAAGCCGGCTGCATGGGGCGGGGCGCCAGAGCCAATCCCGTGCCGGAGGGTTTCTGCCCGTCCTCCGTGGGCTGCTGTGGACGTGCCCTGGTGCACAGGCTTAAAGGCCATGGTCCTTGTGGGGCCAGTAGGTGGTTAAGGCGCTGGATTTTCACATGGCTGACCACAGTTCGAGTCCTGTACCCAGCGGCTTGAAAATCCCAATAAATGAATGAATGAATTAATGTTAAAAAAGGAGAAAAGTCCACGGTCCTCGATCCTGCAGAGCAGGGCTGAATAGATTCCCAGGCCAAGGGACACTGCCTCTCTACCCTCTGTCCTAACCTGGTCAAATGCAGATTCAAGCTCAGCCTGACCCTGGTCAGCGGGGAGGGTGATGTCCACAGGGGGCGCTGGTGTGCAGTGTACAGAGCAGCCTCCCCTAAGTACAAGTCTGCCCCCCTCTCCTGGGCCCTTTCATCCTGGAGGAGCCCCGGGGTTGCAGGGTGATGGCGGAGCTCCTGCGTGTAGTGGGGCTGGCCTTCCAACCCCCACCCCTCACTCTGCCTGTGGCTTCTCGTGCTTCGAGCTCTGAGAGGAGGCAACAGCCTCAGTGGGAAGCAGCTGAACTGGCCCCGAGGGCTGCTCTCATGGCCCTTCCTGGTGCTGTTGACCCTTCTAGATAACGGGGTGGGGCAGCAGGTGACCTGGTGGTTAGGGTGCTGAACTCCCACATGGCTGACCACGGTTCAAGTCCCGGACCTGGGGGCTTGCTTTCTCTCTCTGTCTCTCTGTTTTTCTCTGATCAAATTGAAATACTTCTTTTAAAAAATAACCGAAGGGCATGCCGGGCAGCTCACAGCCCACACAGGTGCCATCATGGTGTGCTCACTGAGTGTGAGTAAGGACGGTGATGGGTCCGGATGTTCAGCACCCTCTGACCCAGGCCCTGGGGCTCCAGCAGAGGTCTCCAGCCCATGGCGGTGACCCCTAGAAGTAACCCTCCCTCCGCCTTCCGCAGCTCTTTCAGACCCAGTCGCAAAGGAGAGCTGCATGCTCAACTTGCTCCTGTCCCTTCCGGAAGCCAACCTGGTGACCTTCCTCTTTCTTCTGGACCACCTAAAAAGGTAGTGCAAGCTCTTCCACAGGAGCCAGGGGCTCCAGGACCCCGGGTGGAGGGTGGCCGCCCTTCCCGCCCCACTGGCTCCCACTGGACTTCTCGGCACCCAGGGCCTGTTCTCCCTGCTTTGTCCGGAGACTGGAGCCATTGCGCCCTCCTCCCCCTGCACTGTGGCCTTAAGCAAAGAGCAAGGGGCTTTCGCTCCAGCAAGCCGTGCACCTGCGCTCCCAGAGCTGGCCCAGCAGCCCACGGCCTCCAGTGCCCTTTGCTGGGGCTCCTCAGACCCAGAGAAACCTGCTTCCAGCACAACCAGGGTCGAGGTCCGTCCCTCCCTGAGCTGTGCCACGGAGGCAGCTCACGTGAGGCAGAGAGGGTCGGCACCCCCACCACGTGGAGTCCACCCTGAGCTGAGGACTCCAGGGTGGCCCGGCCCCTCCACCTCTAACAGCACCGTCTGCTTCAACTCTCTGCAGGGTGGCGGAAAAGGAGACAGTGAACAAGATGTCTCTGCACAACCTCGCCACAGTCTTCGGCCCCACGCTGCTCCGGCCCTCGGAGAAAGAGAGCAAGCTCCCCACCAACCCCAGCCAGCCCATCGCCATGACCGACAGCTGGTCCCTGGAGGTCATGTCCCAGGTACGGGGAGAAGGCTCCTGCCTGTCAATCCACCTGCATCGTGCAGGGATTGGTGGCCGAGGTGCCGAGAGCGGGACCCGCCTCGTCACACACAGCTGGGAGGGGTAGGGTGGGACGGGCCCAGGCGCTGCTCTTCCCGCTGCACCGTGCTGGTTACTCGGGGCTCCACTCACCTGCTGGTTCTTCAGATGCACCTCCCAGATCATGAGCTCCTCTCTTGCTGTGAGGGGCTCGTATCACCAGCAGGGGGACCTCAGCATCCTGAGCTAGATCCCCAGCGCGGGCCTCACCAGCAGGGGGACCTCAGCAGTCTGAGCTGGATCCCCAGCGCGGGCCAAGAAGGCTTCTTACTTGCAGCCGTGGGCACCCCTCTGAGCTGCTTTCCTCCTCCCCTGCTCTGCCCGAGCAGGTCCAGGTGCTGCTGTACTTCCTGCAGCTGGAGGCCATCCCTGCCCCCGACAGCAAGAGACAGAGCATCCTGTTCTCCACGGAAGTCTAAAGGCCCGACTGCATCTCCTAGAGCTGGCGGAACGACATGGAAACCTGTGGCAAAGCGGGCCATCCGGAGAGTGGGAACCGAACCTTCTTGAGGTGTTGTCGGGCCATCCCCAAGAACCAGGCCATCTGCCAAGAGACAGCTACCCAAAGCGGGAGGCCTAGTGGTCTGGACACATCAGCACCCAGTGGGTCTGCAAGCCCCAGGCTGGCTTCAGACTGTGGTTTCCCATGCTGCCACCAGAGGGCACCCCAAGCCGGCACATCTCAGCGCACAGGCCTGGCCGGGGAAGGAGGCAAAGGGAGTGGTTTTTATGAACTTAACTTATCAGAGTTGAATAGATTTCTACTGGATCACTTGTCAAGATGCACCCTCTCCGGGGAGAAGGGAACGCGACCGGATTCCCTCACTATTGTGTCTTGAATAAACGCTGCTGCTGCTTCATACCGTGGGGGCCACAGCCCTGTCCCTGTGTGGGTGGGGCACTCCGACTCCCCTGACTTAAACATCCCTCCATTTCCAGCAGGGTTGGAGAAGCTCAGTCAACCCCGGGTAGCGTTTCGACTTTATTCCCCGCTGGCTTCTCCTTTCTAGAAGGATTTCTGTGCAGACACGGGGCTGTTCCTTGTTTTTCTCGTTGATTGGCTTTTGCTGTTTTTGTGATCCTCTGAAGGCACCTCTACCCGGATCCATGAAAGGTCCAGCGTGGACACCGGGGACAGGGGTGGGAGGCCCGGGTTGTACACTTTGTGGTCCGTTCTCCAGGGAGAGGGGCTGTGTCCACCGATCCCAACCACCCTTTTGGCTTCCAAAGGCCTCAATTTCTCTGGCTTCGCTCCTGCCACATGCTCCGTCCCCTGCTGTCCCCCGTCCGTCCCCCACACAGGTCGCTCCGCGTCCTCGCTCTCTCCTGAGCAGACTTCAGTTAACTTTTGTAGACGTTTCCTCTGGGGCAGAGGGTGGCAGCTTGCTGACGGCTTATTTTAAAACTTGGACCCGAAATAGCCTTTTGATACTTGAATATTTTTAAGTTTTATACATAGTTTCTAATTTTTTTCGTAACAGATTCAGATACCTAATAAGATACTAGAATGTTCTCCAGGGACCGCCATGTCCCGGCAGTGTCACGTCTTCCTCTAAGCGCCAGCCGTTCGTATCAGGAATGTCTCCGGAGCGTCGGAATCATAGAGGGTTAGGGACAGGCCAGGCACGGGGATGGGGGGGCTCTCATCCCCGAAGCAGGCAGCAGGACGGGCCCACCTCTGCCCTCCCTCTCCAGCTCACCTTGTACCTTCACCCGCTCGAGAGCCAGGGAGGTGTGGGAAGGCCACCGGGTGTGTTAAAGAAACAGACTGATCAGCAATCACACCTCTCATTTCAAAAGAGGGGTTCAGAAGCTGGGGCGGTGTCTGCCTATAGCCCCAGCTACTCCAGAGGCTGAGGCAGGAAGAACATGCAGGCATTGCAA